TAGTAGTAGTAGTAGTAGTATTTCCCATTTTCTTTTCCACTATCCCTATTTAACCCCAATAACGAACCAGAATCCCAAGCCCATTCCATGCTCCACGGAGAGAAGCCTCACCCTTTTTGAGCGCAGCCACAGTTTCCAGCTCCTCCAAGCGGGAGTTCCGTTAATAGGACTTTAGGTTTTGGGGTTTTGGGTTTAAGGTCACCATATAGACTCCACTCCAGTCTACTTTTGGCTGGAACCCCCAAAAATGGACTCTGAATTCTTGAAAACCTTGATACTATCAACGAGTTGGTAGTATTTACTGTTAGGGGCCGCGAGGTTTCTTATAAGGGCGGGGGATTGCAGTTGTGAGGACTCTTACCTGTCATGGCCCCCGGCGGGTGAGTGAGATGCCTGCAACTTCTGTGGTGAGGCCATGAAGGACCCCAATATAACCCCAATATAGCCTCAATCTAACCCCAATATAACCCCAATGTAATGATGTTCCATTTCATGTTCCATGTGATCTTACATTTTGTCAGGGTGTACTCCCAGACCCAAAGCTTAGGCCATGAATAACATAGTAGTTGTCATTTGCTTTTCCATTCCCTTGTATATCCCAAACATGAGGTGCAACCCACCCTGTCCTGAACAACCCCCGGCAAGGAAAGCACCGCCTCCGGGTTTGAGGCTGCTAGGCTGGACTCAAAGATGAACAAAAGAAAGCCAGTGATCTACTTGTGTTCTCGTGGGTTTGGGTCTGGGGTGTTCTGAGTTTACTTCTGCGAAGGCAGGATGCGCTCCAAGAAACTTCGCTCTGCAGGGAAAAATTGCCTTGTTCAGCTGAGATATGATATAAGCGAGCTTGCGCACATCGAATCCCCAATTTCACATGGTGAGCTCCACACTGTTCGGTTGCCTATACGATTACGTGTGCATCGGCCACGCTGCTCATCACCATCGTGCCAGTAGAAGTGACAATAATCATCCTGACTCTTTTGCACAATAGCAGGAAGCATGAGGAGTTCCGTGCCTCAGGCACTGATGCCAGAGCTGGGTTGTACTGGGGAGGCGCGTCTTCGAAACCTCAGACTCCAGCTGACATGCATGACTTGGGATCATGAATCCGAGCACAGCTGCAGCAACTACCTTCCCAAATCCTTTGCTTTCCAGAAACGTACATGTACATGGTTCTGAACGGTTTTCAGGCGATTGGATCGTGCATGCCATGTCTAAATACGAGCGTGCGTCCAGAGCGCAGGGTCTCGCTCTACAAGAATGGCCACACGTGGCGTTCCACAAACTTGAGAGACTTCCAGATCCCTAGCTTTGCGCTTCTGGCTTCAAAGAGTTCAGGTCTGTGGCTTTCAGTTGTGACCACTCAACGTCAGGACTGCTTCAACCGCAGTTCATTCTAAAGTCTGCCAAAGGCAATGCCTGGATCCCTTTACCGAGAACAGGAGCACGAGACTCAATATGGCCTGTCTCTGATCAGGGAAGACATCTGGCAGGAAGGAAGGGCTCGTCCAGGCGGTTTGGAGACCCAGCTTGAGTGCAGGTCGCCCTAGACACCCCAGATACGGAAGTCCCTGCTGTAAGCACCTGCAAGACTGTCACGGAACGGAAGGTTGAATTTCAGAAACCTTCCGTTGGCTTCACTCTCCTCAGCATCTGAGCCTCAGGCTATGCTGGCTCGGAGAGGCAGGGGACATCTTCGAGAAGTCTGGCCAGAGCCGGTCCAAGGAAGGTGCCACGTCATTGTTGCAGGAATGCTTGCTTCCCTGCTTTCCAGAAATCACAGCACATGCCCCGACTGGAATGGCATAGACAACAAAAGCCAATCAAAGCTCTCTGCTGAGAAGGAAGAGCTCCGCCTCTAAAGCTGCCACTAGTCACCGTAGCTGCAGGCGAAGTCTCGCCGATCTCCTCATGCCAGGTGGAAAAAAGAAGCGTTGGCCTCGCATGGCCTTGCAAGAACACTTGGAGAAGCGTCCTCAAACACCTCGATCCCCAGGTCTTTCCTGCCACCCTTCCTGAGCAACGAGTGCTTGATGCGACAGCAACCAAACCTGATTATAAATCACATTGGGATGCAAGAGCTCAACGAGGGACCTCTCACTGGTCAAAGCATTTCCATGCATAGCAACTACGGCTGCTTCGTGAGTGGCTCCTTTTTTGGCTTCTCCTCCATATCTTGCTGTCTACAACCGCACCAGTGAGGCCCCGACGATTTGCGGCCTTTGGAAGGTAAACTCCTGGGAGACACGTCCGGAGAGCTCTGGGACCTCGGTGGCAGGGCGAATGTCTAATCTCAAAATTAAACATGCATGCTGGAGGATTTTTCAAGTGTTGACCAACAATGCCGCAGGTCACAATCAACTTTTGATGGAGGTGTCGCTCGGGGGGTCTTTGCCAGACGCGTGTGCAGCCTTGTGGCTAGGACTGCAAAGCGAAGACGCTAAAAAGTCAAAACCATCCGCACTATGGGTATACAAGTGGCCCTGATTGATCGGGCCGGGCTGCGGCACGCTCTTCAACACATTGGCCCTAGAGCAACACACTTGTCCGCGGACTTGTTGCAAACTACATCCAACCCCACTTGATGTTCTTCCCGCATTTCAGCATCATACCCCTTGTAAAGCGTTACAAGTTACAAACCATCAGCTCACAGCATGACCGCTGCAAGGCACACAGTCGTCGAACGTCCCTTGCTTGATCCATCTCTCTCCATGTCCTGCTGAGGCAGGCAGCGAATGGCTGAATTTGCTAACTTTTTGGCCTCGTACCATCCATGGAACATGCACAACTCACAGGAGCTTGCGGGTTGTTAATGAGCCCAACAAGAGCACGATGCTAGTTGCAAGCACAATGAAACGGACCGCGAAGCAGGACATATCCCTGTTTGATGCCGATGCTTGGTGGCCCACAGTCACATGGGCAGGCCAAAACGTTGCTACCAAGTGGGCCCCCGTCATACTAGTAACAGCACTGGGTCTGCTTCATAACAGGAATAGTAACAGGACTTCGTCATGATAATCATGACACTGGTCTTCTTCTCTCCATCTGAGTGCATGCAGAGAGGCCAGTATTTTGGAACATGCTCAGGTAGCGAGCACTGTCCTCGACTGGGTCCTCTGCATCCTGAGAATTCTCAGGACAAGTTAGCCTGCTTGTGGCTGTTGTATCTTTTAGGTATCACATAAATATATATATATGTGTACAGTACGCATGCAGCCGTACAGCTGTTCATATTGATAGAACACGCGAGGTATTGTGTATGGGCACACCTGCATATCCATACATACATAATGCATACATACATACATACATACATACATACATGCATACATACATACATGCATGCATGCATGCATGCATGCATACATACATACATACATATCCATACCACATAGCTTTTATTCACATACATATCCATCCCACATAGCTTTTATTAATGCGTAAAGTTGTCTTTGTGCGAATGTCACACGCTACCAAGACAAGCGCGGACTGTGGATCCTGAATTTCAGCACATCCCTGGCCACGGCCGCTTTGTCCAGTACCATCTGCAGTTTTGGCCCTCCGTACGCTCTGATTCACTTGACTGGTGAGTGAGGTTCCAGTGAAGCCAGCCGAACGCAAAAACTCGCCAGCAGCCATCCAGACCCCGCTATTACCTCAGCATAGTCTAGACTTCTAGAATGTGCGTCCTCAGGGTCTTCCACTGACATGCAGCGCATGGAACCTCATCGGCACCATTGCTGTTGCGCTTGAAACGCTCTGGGACGCGGAAGCCCAGCTTGGCACCTCAGGGCAGCGCTGAAGAGCGATGACCTGCCTTTGGTTCTCGCATGCCTTGAGCAATAACTACGCTAGCACGCCGTCTACGTACTGCCAAATTCTAGCAAGCCATGGGGTCTCAGCGATTCTTTCCTTGGCTTCAGGGCACTGTCAAACAGTGGCAAATTGAGCCCTAGACATCTTCGGATCATGCAGGACATCAGATTACTTTGTGAAACCAGCAGTGCACAAACCCGTGCTGGCTCACTTTCCGCCTGATCCCACGACTGTTGGATACTTCTAGTGGATTTGTTTGCAGCACGTGCTATCCTTAGAGCCTGCCCATGCAGTCCAGGCACAGCATGCGATGATGGCTGAGGACAGGATGGAGAGGATTATGACTTGGCAACAGCAGGGCGTTGGAGGCTCAACACTGAGGCTAGCAGTCAAGTCAGCGGCATCATGTCGCGTAGCTCTAATTTCTTTGCTACTTTGAGTTGTCATGGCAAAGCACGGGTGCAAGCAACAGCCACTTGCCAAGAACCTGCCGGCACTCATCGCAAAGGCTGCTGCGGGCTCCAACAATTCCAGCCGGAACGATAAAGTTGATAATGTTCCTTGGGATGGGCAATTCGCTGGCAAAAGTTACAGTTTTCTGGTACAAACAGGGCGCCAAATTACAACATGTGCCTGGATCCAGCAGGACCTGTGAGAAAAAGAGAAGCGAGTAAAGAGATGCAAAGAGTCAGAAGAACCATCGAAATCCTGCCCGCTACTCTGATCTCAACTCAACATATCCAATAGCTGCCTTCAGAACATCTTCCTACTGCATGAATAGGTGAACTAAAACTCTCAAACTCTCACAACCCTGAAGCAGACCGGTAGGGCCAACGATGGATTTGACGCAAGCGGCTTTCAGCCGAAGGAATCATCGTGTAGACCTCCCATCCTAAAAGCAAGATACCCAGAAACATACGTCATCAGAAGTGGCTCTGCATGGCACGACTGACTATAAAAGTAACTTCACGGCGCAAAGCCGCAAGTTTGAAAACTGCATAGGAGTAAATGCAACACATCAGTGCCATCCAAGGCGCGGTGGGATATAGGTTTGTACAGCTTTGGCTTTCGCTGGATCAAACTCATCGACCCTGAGATGCCGGGTAATTTTGTCAGGCAGAGGTTGGAGGCCAAGGGTTTTTGGGCTTGCCCGTTTTCTACAGAAAGCCAAAGACAGAGTGCGGCTCCTGGACGTTTTGCATGCGCCCCTTCTCCGCTATCTTCATGCTGTTCAGTACGCCGACCTTGGGGGGCGTGTTGAATGCCGGCCCCAAGCCCCTGGACCCCGGGCGGCCTCAAGCCCCTGCGGGCCCAACTTGAACAGTGGCACTTGTCGTCAATCGGGCTCCCAATTTGAAGGGTCCTGCACAATGCAGGCAGCCTGGCTTGTTGTGGATTTCCTGCGCGGCCACTGCAAACAGCAAAGCTTTGGACTCCCGGCAGCCAGCTTGAACTAATCTTGCCAGGCAGAGGTCCCAAGGCCTGGGTGTCAGGCTGGGGCTGCCCGAGCATGCTGATCAAGGGCCACCCCAAGCTAGGCCCATGAAGGCCTGGACAAACGGAATGCGTGTTGGTCCTGACACGGTCCC